CGAATCGAGCCAAAAGCTGAATGGGATTGTGTGCTGTCTTTCCTCAGGGTTGAGACGCCCCAGTTGTCAAGGTCCAATCTTCACCTGCAGCGCGCGGACGCGTCGCGGGCGATCCGCTTCGGGAGGCCTTTTCTCGGGGCAGTGCGCCGTGCAAACGGCGCGGCCGAGATCGCGCCGTTTGCGCGACCCTTCCAGGAATTCGGAGAAGATCAGGCCGGATAAGTTGCCGACCCCGCTGGGCAACGCGATCATCGCTTTCGTCGATGCGAAGTATGCCATTTGTTCGGCAGCAGGCGCGACTCGTCTGGGACAAAAACGCTCTCTTAGCTCATCTAGTTCGACATGTATTTCAGCGAGCTCGCACATATTATCAAGTGAATCTCGTCTGGGATCGATCGCGCCATGCCGAAAACGTGGGGGGCGACGACGACGATTATCTCGCTGAGCAGGGGGGCCGAGAAGCCTCTGAGGTATCCGGGCAGACAAGACTGGCGCAGGTCGATCGGTTCCAATCTGACCTTCATCGATTGCCGGGGGGGGGGGGGGGCTCAGCAACTCCGTCTACCCACCCGCGAGCAGATTCAACGCCTGCAGGAAGGTTTGAAAACCAGCTGCCCCGAGTTTCTCGCCGGGGACCTCACGGAGAAACTATTCCCGCGCCTCTGCCGCGCATGGGCGCCGGCGGAAACGCCCAACTGACCCTTGCTCACGAACGTGATCGCCAACGTTGCATCTCGGCGTGGGCGAGGTTGTCCTGGGCGCAGCGCAGGCGCGGCGCCGTCGAACGACCCGCTCCTGGCTCGCGCTCGCGATTCGCAGCGTCGGCTGCGCGCGGAGGCAGGGGGCCGCATGCGCAGGCATCTAGCGAAGGCAATTTACCGTTTCAAAAGGCAGTTCTCGAGGGCGCGGTCCACGGCTAAACTGAGCGAGGCCCCCAGGACGAAACGTTGCCCTGGAATCCCCGAGGCCCGACCCAGAAGCCCCGAACTGAACTGGGCCTGCGACGACGTGGCTCTGGCGGCGACGACGGCTCGACAGAAATCCAGGGCCCCAATTGACTGTAGCCGGATCTATTCGACAAGCCGACCCCGTCGACCTCCTCGGACATGAACCCCACTTTGAAACGGAAGAAGACGAAGGGCCCGCCGCGGTTGCAGCATCACTGGGGCGCGTCTGTTCTGGGGGCTTTCAGACGCCCATGCCGCGGGCGGGCTCAAGACGCATTATTCAGAATGAAGATGGGAAGCCGGGCTTCTGGACAGGACGGGGCGGCGGCGGCGAACAGGGCGATGATGTCTGGGGTTCCCGCGCGATTAATTTCTTTGCGAAAAATGGATTCCCCAGGATGAGGAGCATCTCGGACTCGCGTCCCATCGCGTTGCTGCCTGCCGCTTACAAGTGACATTGCCGCGCCCTCCTCCATCTCCCCAATCCTGAACAACGAAAGCATGCAATGTACCAAGTCGCCTTTCGGCAAGACTTCCCGGCTGAAGGAATTATTTTCATACTCAGGCAAATGTTTCAAACGTGCAGCGAGAGGGGGCCCGGGAAACCCCTGTTCACTTTCGCGGGCGATATACGTGAAGCGTTTGACTACGCGGGTCGGGGCGGTACCTCCTTTGCGACAGCGTCATCCGCAGCAGCTTGTCCTGGGATGCCAAGGGGTGGAACCTGAGATAAGACCAGCTCGCGAAGTTGAGGCGCCTCCAGGACACCATCCATCGTCGAGCTTTCGGGCTCCAGGAAAAAAAACAGCCACGAGCCCTGGGGAGAGTTCATGGTCCGCGCGTTCCGAAAGGTAAAAATTCTGCACGAAAACACCTCGGCATTCTGGGACGAGCATCTTGCGTATAGGCAGTATCGTTGGGCGGGCCATCTTGAACAACTGAGCGTGAGAAACCCCGCCCGTCCCCCCCCCCAGGTCCTCCATTTTCGGGACGCCAGGTTCCTGCGAGCACGGGAACGGGCTCTCGGCCGCGGGCGTCAAGGCCACGCGCGGAAGCTCCGTCCTTGGAGGTGGGAATCCTTTTCTCTCTCGCTGTCACCATCTCATCGAAACTTGGAATTGGATTGCCCAGTTTCCAGAGCTTTGCTTACACCACAGGAATACTGTCGTTAAGTGGCGCTCTTGTGCTTTCTTTATTTTTCTTGCGTTTTCAATCATCTTCATTTACCGAGCTCTTGTCCGAGCCGAGACTTCTCGAGGAACATACATACATACATACATACATACATACATACATACATACATGCATCATCGCCTTCACCAGCCGCATCAGCATCAGCATCAGCAGCGTCATCTTCGCCATCGCCACAATCACCATCAGCATCAGCATCGCAGTCATCCCCATCATCGCCATCGTCATCTGCACTAGCATCCGCACCGACAACATTATCGTCATCCCCTCGTCCTCCTACTCCCGTCACCTTCTCTCCCCGTCATTGCGCTCCCCTCCGCCTCCCCCTCGCTCGCAGGGGCCGTCGATGTTTCAGCTGGCCCTCCACTGAGATCCTGTCAAGAGTGGTCATGTGGATGCTTGGGCGTCGCGAGGCGCCCTTGCTTCCCTCGTTCGGCATCCGTGCCGCTTCCTCCTCCCACTCCTCCTCCTGCTCCTCCTCCTTCTCCTCCTCCTCCTCCTTCTCCTCCTCCTCCTCTACTCCTCCTCCTCCTCCTCCTCCTCCTCCTCCTCCTCCTCCTCCTCCTCCTCCTCCTCCTCCTCCTCTTCCTCCTCCAATTCCGCTTCAGATTTCTCCTCTTCCTCTTCCTCCTCTTCTTCCTCATCCTCGTTTTTTGTTGCTCTCCCTGCGAGGTTGCCATGCGAGTGCCTTGCGTCCATGCGCTCGCCCATGCTGTCAATGGCTACCGCGGCGGTCGCGATTGGAAATGGTCCTCGGTTTTCCGCGCGCGGTGCTCATCGTTTGCCAGCGAAGCGCGCCGACCGACTGGTTGACTGACTGAACTTGGCCGAAGGCTGTCTTTTTCACGCGGGCCGTGCGGATGCGTCGGGCGGCAACCCGAATGGCGGGTGGGGGTAAAGCAATCTGGCCAACGGCGGCCTCTCCGTGGGTCGTGCGGATACGTCGGTTGGCAACCGCCTGAACGGAAGGTGGGGGATGGCAAATGGCCGAGGAGGGTGGGAATGTCTTGGGCGGGTTTCGCAATCTGGCGCCCGTCCACGTCGGTACGCGACCTCAGGGCAGGGCGACGCTTCTGATCCGTCCTGCACGCCCTCTTTCGCAAACCGCTCGCGTCAGATGCGGTCGAACAGCGAGCACATATTTCACCCCCCTGTTCTTGCTCTTCCCGATCCACATTGAACGTTCCAGGAAGGGCTTCGCTTTCGAGGGTCGAAGGGGTTGACGTCTCTTCCCTGGCGGGGGGGGGGGCGGTCGGCCGGCGGAACACGGCGGAAGCAGAACGGCGGCAGCTCCGCTTGCAGAAGGTGTCGGGAGTAAAAGTCGGCCTTCCAGGAGGGCGTGGGGAGCTTGAGTGTGGGGCTGTCGCGAATCCCTTCCCGCGGCTGACCGCTCCCATTCGGGCCCGACCTCATCTAAATTACAATACTGGAGAGGCCTTACGGCCAGCGCCGCCGACCCTGTACGACCACGACGACGACTACGATGCTGACGTGCGTCAGAGTCCTCAGGGATGCTTCTTGGGATCTCTTCGGAGCGCTCTCGGGGGCCTCTGGGGGGTAGTTTGGGGGTCTCTTGGGTGCCTCTTGGGGGCCTGTTGGGAGGTTCCTGGGGGCCTCTTGGGGGTTCCAGGAGGCCTCATGGGGTCTCTGTTTTTTTTGTTGGAGGCTTATTGGCGCTTCTTGGGAGCTTCTCAGGCCGAGGGCTCGAAATGCCTGTTCGGGCCCCCCGTCTGGGCACCCTCTTGGAGCCGTCTTGGGGGCCTCCTAGGCCGTCTTGGAGGCCTCTTGGGTCGTCTTGAGGCCCTCTTGTGTTGCTTTGGAGCCCTCGTGGAGGCCTCTTGGGGCATCTTCGGGCGACCATTTGGGCCTTTTGGGCCGTCTTGGAGTGCCGGGAAGCCGGAAAGGCGAGAATCCCCAAATCGATAAATATCTGTTTGAAGTGACATGATTTGTGCCTCTTGGGGCCCTCTTGAGAATGCTGTTGAAGGCTTCTTGGGGCGTCTTGGAAACCTCTTGGGCCGTCGGGAGGCTACCTCGGCGTCTTGGAGTGATAGTTCGGCGGTGGCCGTCTTGGACCGTCTTCGGGGCCTCTTGGGGCAGTCTTGGTTCGTCTTCGGAGGTTTTGGGCTTTGGGACCCCCCGGGGGGGGAGAAGCATTCTGACCTGCCCCCCTTGGACCCCCACCGAGTCTTCCCAGGGTCCCCCCTGGTTCCCCCCCGGGACCTCTCCCGGGACCCCTCTGCCAGGACCCCCCCACACCAGCGGGTAAGGGATCAAAGGCAAGGGGGTTTCCTTTCGACTCAACTACGACGTTGCTGCTTAAGTGTGCTTTGTTCTTAATTGTGCTTTGGAAAATCGTCTCTTCGACACGCCGACAGGGTCGGCGGATTTTGCATGCGCCGATTCTGGTAGAGTTCTGAACCAGGCCCCTCAAGAAACGTCCGCCTCAAAGGTGTTTGGGCGCAGTGTTATAAGCAAAAAGAGATGAGAATCGGCCTTTCAAAGGATGCGACGTCTGTGTCATTCAGGGTGTCCAGAACCCGCCATAGGGACCCTCCGACCTCTCATGAAACGCCTTCCAACCAGCTTTTCGAGGCGGGCTTGGCTTTGGCGAAGAGGCGACCCCCCCGAAGGCCTTAAATCTCTTCCTCCTCCCGCTCCTCATTCTCCTCCTCCTCCTCCTCCTCCTCCTCCTCCTCCTCCTCTCCTCCTCCTCTCCTCCTCCTCCTCCTCCTCCTCCTCCTCCTCCTCCTCCTCCTCCTCCTCCTCCTCCTCCCCCTCCTCCTCCTCCTCCTCCTCCTCCTCCTCATCCTCCTCCTCCTCCTCCTCCTCCCCCTCCTCCTCCCCTTCCTTCGCCCCGAGGCGCACGCGATGGTGCTCCGCCACTGCCCCGTCTGCGCGGGATGCGACCTCGGAGCCCTCCACTGCCCCGTGCCGTCGACGACGACGACTGCTACGGAGACGTCGAAAACAGGCGGCCCCTCGTCTCCCCAGGCCTCCTCTCGTCGGTTGGACAGATCACTGCGGCAGGTTCCTGCGGGAGGTTCGTCTCCTGTCGACGCGGCGGCGAATCCGCCGAGAGGCGTTCAAGGTGGAACGCTGCCATGAACCGACAGGCACGGAACGATTTGGCGGTCGATACACCGCCGATCGTTCAATCGGCGGCGAACGAGGGGAGGGGAATGAGAAGGAGCAGGCCTCCTCAAAAGGCAGCGGGACTTCTCAGAAGCGCTCGCGCCTTCTGAAAAGTTTTCTGCGTCTTCGGGGAAGGCCGGGGGCCTCTCGAGCCTTCTGAGAAGGCCTTCTCCCCTCGCTTGCCGCCGATTCAAGATTGAACGATCCACGCGGTGTCGGAAGCCAGCGCCGGGGTCGTCACGGCACGAGCCTGCCGTGCCCATGTTCTGCACGTTGGTGCCCCCACAGCCGGCACGAGGGTGCTATAGGACCCTGCGTTGGAGGCGTCGCGTCGTGTCGACCGGCCGACCCCGCCGCCGGTGTTCAACGCCGAACACCGCCGGCGACCCAGGATCTGTCGATGTGGAACGATCCGACGTTTCGGAAGCAGCCGATCGTGCAAGGTTGAACGAGCCCCTCGGTGTCAGGAACCAGCGCTCACGACACGAACCTGCCGTATCTCCGTGCTCGTTGTGCTAAGGACCTCCACCTTGCATGCCCTTCGTCGGGGGTACCTCTATAGTGGCCTCGGGTTCTCGGCGAAGGGGCCGATGTTCTGTGATGCAACTCTTGGAATGTTAAATTCTGCATCGGCGCTGGCACTCTGACGGTCGATAACTGGCTGTCTCTGTGCTAATCCGGCTTCGTTGTGCTTAATCCAGTTTCATCCCTGCAGGCCCAATCCGGCCTGATCCGGTGAAGTGGTTGAATCGGTCCGAATCGTCCTTAATCGCCCCACGATGACCTCGCAGTAGTTGCCTCCTGACATGTTCTTGACTTGACACCCGTTCTTGTGGCCATGCTCCGACCGCACTGTGCCCCCAGACCGTCAAAGAATAGCCCAGGCTGGAAAAGCGGGTCCCACGGGAAAGGAGGTCCAGACCGCCGGGGGCCCACGCTGAGAAAAGATCTCGACGTCAGAAGACTGGGGGGGAGGCACCCGGCGCCGCGATTTGTTCTGTCCCAGCGCTGCTCCTTGGCTTCGCCCTCAGCCACGGGGGCGCCGGAGCGGGGGGTGAGGACCGGGAGGGTGAGGACATCATGGCTGGGGCCATGGACACCTCCCACGTTTCACGGCCCCTTCCCCTCCTTTCGACACGCCCGCCTGGCAGGCCTCTTTTCCGCGCACGTGCCCCGGGCCATGTTGCGCCAGGCCCCCCTCGCCCTGCCCCCTCCCCTTCCCTCCGGCGTCTTGGGGGCCTCCGGGGACTCTTTTGGGCCATGTTGGGAGGCGAATCCGGTATGAGAAGGCTGCCGAGGCCAACTCGTTCTCCCGAGCACGGGGCCTGCAGTCATCATAAGCGGTCCCTAATTGGGACGAGGGGCTAATCTTGGGGGTGCGGGGCCGAGGGCTACGGGGTACGGGTGGCGGCCCGCGGATTCTGGTTGAGGGGGCACCTCTCGCGAAGCCCCCTCCTCTGAGGACGATTCCACCACCCTTGCGAGCCTCCACTAGACCATGCCCCTCATCTGGCCCCTGTCCCCCCTGCCGTTCCTCCCCTCTCCTCCACCTCCCCGCCTGCTCCCCCTCCACCCACCTCGCTCCGCGCGCCCCCTTCTCCTATCCCCTTCCTCGGAATATCCCTCCCTCTCTCTCTCTCTCCCCCTATTGTTCAAAAACATGTATGCCGCGGGCGCACTCGTCAATGTAGTGATGTCAGTGGTGGCCACTACTTTGTTTTCACACAGCACTCTGGTGGCTTGCTAGCGGCGCCTGTAGGTGATAGAGTGGGCTAGTGTTGCTTGTGAGTAGAGGAGGAGAAGCGGAAACAAGCAAACGAACACGGCACATAAGAAAAACACCCCCCGTCCCCGGTTCCTCCCACCCTCCTCCTCACCGCTCCTCCTCCCCGCTCATCCCCCCATCTGCGCCCTCCTACCCCGAAGGGGGGGCGGCGAAGAGCGCAGTGCCCCCCCCCAACCCCCCCTGGAGCAGAGTCGAGGCCGATTTTGTCATCCGCCACGCCTCCTCCATCCACGGGCCTACTCGCCCCCCAGGGGCAGCTGATTTGACCCTCAGCGCCGTCGAGATTCGGGCCTCAGCGCTTCCGTGATGCAGCTCTTAGCGAGTTCGGCCCAGTGCGTCAAGCCGTCGCGTGTCAGCAGATGTGTCGCCCAGCAGACCACGTCCGCCTTTCAGCACCCGTCCCGCGGCGGGCAGAGTGAGAGGGTGCGGCGCGCGGGGAGCAAACAGTGCGGCTGCCAGAGCTGAGCTTGACCGAGACTACGGCCTCCACGACGGCTACAGTATCCACGACGACTACCGTCCTCGCGGCCACGAGCACTGCCACGTCGCGGACCCTGACGACCACGGAGTCGAGTGCAGGTGGCTCGCCGTTTCGGACAGTGCCTGCACGGCTGGACCAGTGCCGATTCTCCGAGTCGATGTCGATCTTGGCCAGTTCGACAAGATCCGATTCCGATATGCCGACGCTCCGACGGTCCGATGTTGGCGCGGCGTTGTGGTAGATCGTGACGCAGTCGATGCGAAGCAAGTTGGGCTCCGTGCCGATGCAGCTCGATCTGACACACGGTCCGATTCGGTCTGATTTCCCGATTCGATGCTGACTGAGCCTGTCCGTTGACGGCTTGGCACAGTGCTCGCTGTTTGCATAGCGAGGCCTCCAGGGGTCACAGCGCAGACCGAGTGGCAGCACTTGCGGGAACTGGACATGTCGCCGCTGTGTGGTTGGCTTGCGGTAGGGTCGAAATCCGATCGACATTTCGCCCTCTGGTCGAACCTCTCCTGAGAAAGCTTGATCTTGTGAGGAGCATGGCAAGGACGGAGATGGTGAGGAGGAGGAGGGCAAGGTTGGATCAGGCGGAGAGCAATGGGAGAGGAAGTCGGTCAGGAACCGAGTGAACCGAATCTCGCGACGAACGCAGGGCTCTCTCTGCACTTCGAAGAAGGGGCCTGACCAGAGAGTTTGCAGTTGCCCCGAGACGAGCTCGCTGTTCTCCAGGGGGGCAAGCAAGTGGACAAGTCATGTTGCGTGCCAGAACGCAAGCACTTTCGGGCTACCTACATCTACGGGAACCTTGTAGCACGTTCTGCGGGTGCACGTGAACACTGACTCTTCCCCGCTCCGAAGAACAACGGTGCAGCTGCCGATCCCAACGAGAGCGTCTCATAATGCCTCAAGCAGAAACGCATGTACTGAAACCTGGAGCATACCCCTAGCGACAAAATGGACAGCATGCTCCCTGGAGTAAGCGGTGTTGGGCCAAGGGCCTGTGGGAAGCTGAGGCGCCCGTGCCTCTCTCGCCCAGACGGAGTGCACCGTTGAACCCATCTTCCCATGGGGCAGAGACGCCGTCACGCCTGCCGGAGTTCCGTGGCCCCCCCCTTTCGTGCCAGCGCGAACGAAACGAGAATCGAGATTTGAGGTTTGGCCGCTTTCGTCTGAGCTCAGCGGTTTTCCAGCCCCGGGATGCTGTCCAGCGGCTGCGCCTCGCCGAGGGCGTCCCGAGGCCGAACGGTCGCCGGAGACCCGAGCCATGGCCCGAGAACCAGACCTCCTTCCTCCTCTTCCTCTTCGTCTTCTCGGCACGATCGAAGTCGGCATCGAAAGAGTGGTGGCAAAGACCGACAGCAGTGTTAGACCATTTTGAATAGGAGTCCCTGTCGGGGTCGCAGCGGTCGTTGGCCATCTGAGACGGCAGGTCACCAGCCCAACGGCAGCCGCCGTCGGCTTTGGACGGCATTTGCTGCCGGGCGTCGTAGCAATTCTTTCCGTACCCATGTCGGGTGTGCCAAGTGCGCGGCGAGAGGCGATTATCCGTTTCTGGGGCTGGGCGCGGCCACCCCCTGGAACGCCCAGCCACCGGCGGGGCCACCGAGAGCCGGCGCCGAGAGCCTCGAGGGCATCGGGGGCCTCCGAGGGCCACCGGCGGCCATCGAAGACCTTCTGAGGGCCCCCGAGAGCCGCCACAGGCCCTGGAGGGCCTCCGCAGGCCTCTCCCCCCCCTGCTCGAAGGCCCGAGCTGCCCGAGGGAGGGCCCGGGCCTCCCCGCGGTGGGAGCCTGGGCTCCCCCGGCGGCGAAGAGGCGGGGACCAGCCGCGCGCAGCCGTGGCCCACGGGGGGGCGGGGGCGGCGCCACGCCGTCGTGGGCAAGGGCGGGCCAGCCGTTGTCGGAGAGAGGCCCCGCCCAGCTCCGCCCTGCATGCCTTCCGCCACGTGCCGGGCAGCCCCAGATCGAAGTTCGAGGAGGGAGGTTCGGATCGATCGAGGGTATTACGGTCGGACCGCGGTATAAGGTCGAGGTCCGTTCGGGGAGGGTACACTGTTTTTCTTCGTGTTTGTGGGACGCTCTTGTGCTTCCTGGGGGAGGGTACCATCGAGTGATCTTAGAGTTTGGGGGTGCTTTGGCCTGCGGATGGCCTCATGTTCCTGAGGGATGTTCTTCTGTCCCTTCGTCTGGCCGTATTGTTTGCGGCCCGTTCGGGGGAATCCAAAGGCTTCCGGGGGGCCTCTGGAGACCTCCGCAGGGTTCTGGGGGCGGCGCGCGCGAGTAAGAAAAAGAGAGGGCTAAATACAAGAATTCGTCTGCCAGCAGGCAGCACACTGTCAGCGACCAGCCTGACGACGACCACGGCCTCGACAATCTCCGACAGCCGGCAGCAGCAGCGACGGCGCGACAAGAAGCGCGTCCTGCTGTACACCTCCTCGACGGCAGCGCCGTCGACTGCCAAGACGACCGCCGCATCAAGAGAGGCGGGCGGGGATGCTAGGGCACCCAGCCGACGGGGAAGTTTCATAACGACGCCTCCGCTCTGCTCCTCTTTGTCCTCCTCACTACTCCTCGTCCGTCCTACCCATTCCCCAGGCTGCCGAGGCGCCTTCTCATAATCGCTGGGTTCGGCCTCGGGCTTCTGAGGTGCAATGGCTCAGGGGCGCCAGGTGAGGTCGTGCTGAGGCGCTGGGCGCATGGGGTGCAAAGTGTGGCTTCGTTGATCGGCTTGTCGAGAGCACTCATTTCAGGCGGGCGTCCCAGCACGAAAGTGCCACGACCAATGAGGGTCTCAGGCTAAGCGTTGCATCGCTTGTTGAAATGATGACGTTAGGGCTTGGCGCCGTAATTGTAGAGGCGTCCGCGCAACGGATTTGCAGCAAGCCCACTTCTCGTCTAGTGGTGAGGGGTACGAGCAGGAGAGACAGGAGAGGAGTATTTTTTAACATAAGGAGGAGAGCGAAGGCGCTCATGGGAGCCATGGCCATGGAGGACACCCCTGAGACGACCACGTGGCCTTACAACTGCGACATCGGGTACTCGCACTGGCAGCTTGGATGGTCTCCATCCAAAAAGGTCGCGTCGATTAGGAGCAATGGGAATGGACAGATCTGCGCGGACCATCCTTGATTATTTTTCCTGAATGAGGAAGGGGGGCGGATGAGGAGCCGCAGAAGCCGGAGCAGAAGCAGGAGAAAGAGGAGGTGTCAGGGGATGAGGAGGAGGACGAGCTTGAATTCAAGAATGACGAGGACGAGGAAGGAGCTCGGATCTCGTGCTACCTTTTTGGTGAAGAGACAGAGAGAGAGATACGATATACATTTATATGTATTTGTTTATTTGTATAGTTACTAGATAGGTGAAACTGGTAAAATCAAGTGAGGGGACAAAATAACAGATGTGCTGGGCCAGCGTGCAGGGTGCAAAGAGAAAGCGCACGTGCTTTCCCCCCTCCCAATCCCTGTCGCCATGAAGGACAGGAGCCCTGAGGGAAGCGGGTCCTGGTCCTAGTCCTGGGGCTTTCCCCAGAACCAGCTCTTCGTCTGAATTGAACCGTTGTTTGACGGTCTGGTCGTCGTCGTGGTCCTGGTCGCGGTCGTCGTCGGCATTGTGGTCGTGGTCGTGGTTGTCGTCGTTGTGGTCGTGGTCGTGATCGTCGTCGTCGTCGTCGTTGTCGTCGTCGTTATCGTCGTCGTCGTCGTCGTTCCGTCGGGCGTCACCCCATGGCCAGCGCCGCCGCTTGCGCCTCCTGGAGGCTACCAGCGACGGTGGCAGCGACAGCGGCAGCGACAGCGGCAGCGGCAGCGGGAGGAAGGGGGAAGGAGACAGACCTTCGTTCAATGCCAAGGGGGTCACGAGGGTAGGTTGTTCACTACCCCCTGCAGGAAACTGAGGATCGAAAAGGAGGGAGGATAATCAGGATCGAGGAGTTTTCGGACGTGGTTGGACTTCTCTGCGGGTCCGGGGGCTTCTGGCATCCTCGAGGAGACGACGACCCTCGTAGTGGTGGCACCCCAGGCCTCCGCCTGGGACCCAGACATGCAGCGTCTTGACAGAAGCAGGGCCAGGATGTCATTCTCAGTTGTAGTCCGCCGTTCTGAAGCTCCGGGGCCGTCAAAAGAACGCCTCGGGATGAAAAGCACGATCCCCCGGAAGGGGTCGGAAGTTCCAGGGCCCGCGCGCCGAGCAAAGCCAGGGCATCGGAGGCCTATACTTGCGGTCTGAGGTATCAGGCAACTGCCTCGGGAAAGCGGGCGGCAGAGGTGACCAGCACGACTGATCGGCGGTGAGCCCTCTGCCCGAGGCGAGGCCCTTGGAACCCCTCGCCTCGCGGCCGCTGAGCCAGCAAGGAGGTCGTGCAGTCAAGACGCTGTGGTGAGGAACAGTTTGGGTCTCACGAGGGGCTCCAGGTTTGGGGCCGCCCGTCAGAGCTAGATCGGGGAGCCTATTCGTGGCCGAGGCTCGCCGTGGCCAGGCAAGCCTCTTCGTTCCTCATCCTGTGTTGCTCACGGTAGCACGATGACTGTACTCGAGAGGACGGTCTCTGTCAGCAGGTGCTTGAGTCCGCCCCCAGGTCTGGTGCTGCCGGCATGCCGGGCGGGCCTGTGTCACCACTACCTCGGCCACGACGACCTCGACCTCGACCTCGACCTCGACCGCCACCACCACAGCAACCACCACCAGCGTCACCACCAACACCACCTCATCCACCATCACCACCACGTCCACTACCGCCACAACCAGCACTACCACTGTCACCACAACGACCCCCATCGCAACCACGGCTGCGAGCGCCGCTACCACAAGGAGAGCCGCTCAGTTGCGCCTGGCCACTATGCCGTGCCTGGGCGGGGCCTCCGATCGCCCCTCCTCATGCTCCTCCTTGTCCTTGTCCTACGCACTCCTCCTCCTCCTCCTCCTCCTCCTCCTCATCCTCCTCCTTGGCAAATTCGTCTCCCGCCGCTGCTTGAGCATAGCTCCCGCATCCAGAGGCTGTGATCGTCACCCTGCGTGGCGTCCTGTCGGCCAGGCTTGGGGCATGCCGCTGGCCTGGACGTTCTGATTTATCCCGTCGTCCTCTCTGCCGGCGTGGCGCCTGTGGATCTCGGCATGTCGGCCCTGCGCGCGCGTGCCGATTCCCTCGAGCGACGGCGGCGACGTGCCTGGGAGAAGGACCACCTGAAGCAGAGGTGACCAGGTCATGGATCTGACGACGGCATGCGGGAGCTGCTGGCGCCGAGGCCGCGTTCCCGCAATCATGACCGCGATTCGCCAAGTTCTCGGCATGACTGATGGCGCGGCAGACCACTGCTGCGAATGGCCCGACGATAATCGCGCACCCCGCTTTCTAAAGCGTACCCCCTTCTGACCTGAGAGTTGATCATCCTGGGCCGAGACAGAGTTGGTCGAGGGCAAGGGGCGGCGAGGCCGAACTTCATGATCGCCGGGAAAAGTAGTACGAAGCGAAGTTGCAATCCTCTTATGTTGAGTAGCAACACTAAGCATGGACGTGTGGCAGGCATATGGTATTCTCACCGTTTCAGTTGTCCTAACTCACAAACGTGTGGCAGGGCTATGGGATGCCCTTCGAGCCCTCCAGGGAGGCCCCTCCAGAGCGAGCAGGGTATCGCTATACCATGCCATTTCTCAGGTTCCGTGCTCCTCCGACCCATCCAAGGAGGCCCCGCCAGAGCGAGCAGGCTATCGCTCCACCATACTTACATATCATCGTACATGCGAGTTGCCGGGACAATCGAATCGTTATCCTCCCCGAGCCCCGAGCTTCATTATCCCCATCTTGTGGTGAGTAGGAGCGCAGGGTTATCGTCGCCGCCCTGCAATGGCCCGCACAGTCGTCTGGCGGGGCAGCCGCGACACTCCGCGGTGCGGCTGCAGGCCGCCCGCTGCGAGGCGGGCCATCGCCGAGGGGGCTCCCTGGCCGCGCCTGCAGCGTCGGGAGTGCTGCGGTCCCTCGCTGGGACGACGCCACGGAGGACGTCGGAGGGGCCCGAGGCCGTTCTCCTCTTTGGCGACCAGCGCCTCACGACGTTGCCAGCACGCGGATGGCTCGGTGGCCTCTGGGGCACTGGCCCGCACACAGTGCAGAGGATTGGCCCGACGACCGTGCAGCGCACGGCCGCCACCTCGCAGGCCTGCGGCACGCTTCGATGAGGCACAGGGCGCGACGGCGCCAGAGCGAACGGACAAGGTCCAGGCGGCGGCCAACTTCCACGACATCATAACGGCGAACTTCGAGCGGCGGCTGGAAGCTGCGGCGTCCTCGCGCCAGGTGGCCAGAGTAAGTTTCCGCGCGTTTGGGTGGGGAAGCACGCCGTGACGGTGTACCACGAGACGGGCTGACTGGAGTCCGTCTCCGCCACCCACGGCGCGATGGGTCTTTCGCGCACGACGGCGAGGCGTGGCGTCGAGAGGCTCCTGTCGACGGTGACCACGACATCATAACTGCGAACTTCGGGCGGCGGCTGGAAGCTGCGGCGTCCTCGTGCCAGGTGGCCAGAGTAAGTTTCCGTGACGGTGTACCACGAGACGGGCTGACTGGAGTCCGTCTCCGCCACCCACGGCGCGATGGGTTTTTCGCACACGACGGCGAGGCGTGGCGTCGAGAGGCTCTGTCGACGGTGACCGGCGGGCTGGAATAATATCAACATGAGCCAAGGGGCCGAATAAATCGTAGAAGACGAAGAATCGAAAAAGTCGCAGAACAGAACGTCGCAGAAGTCGCAACAGTCGGCGAGAGTCTCCCGAGAGAGGCGGCACGACCGAGGGCGAGGCGCCGGCGCGGGCAGGATCCCGTCGGCAGGGCCGAGCTTCACCAAAGATAGCAATCGAAGATGAATGCACGGCCCCAGGAAGACCTCCAAACCGGTGGTGCTTTACAGTGGAAACCCATGCACACTGCTGGCCTCCAGTGTGCCCTGGAACGCCCGGCTTCTGTCACCCTCCACTGCGACAGGTCTGCTGGGCGACGTACTGACCACTGGCCGGCGGCGTGGCGAGTGTGCGTTGCAGGGGCGGCCGGTTGCGTTAGACTGCCCTGCGCCTTCTCTATAGACAGCAACAAGGTTTGTTTCGAGCGGTCCCCACAGAAACCTCCGTCGCTTGTCCGCAACAGAGCTCGCGCCTACGGCAACGCTGCGTACAGAACCCAGCAGAGGAAGCAGATGGAGCAATTCGTGGCGGGGAATACGGTGGCCGAGTGTATTATGTGTTGTGGCAGGCACTGTCGCAACTATATATATATATACATACATACATATATATATATAATTATAAGACACAGATGTACATATATACATACACACATACATAAGCTCCACTCGGCTCTAGCGGTTTCCGCGGGGCTGGTGGAGGCGCTCCACAGGCCAGAGATGCCTGTACGAGCATTGACGACGCCGCTCGCATGTGCCCCCTCGGGCGTGCGATGGCGCGCGCCACCATCCTGTCACCAGCGGTGCTCAACCCATTCAGTCTCGCAGGCGCCCGAGGTGAGCAGGTCTCAGCTCAGCTGCGCCACATCAAGATCATAGGATACCCTGGCACGAAGATCCGGAAGCACCCGCACAGCCCGCACCACGTGCAGCGCTATGATCACCACTTCGCCATCCACTTTGGCTACGGGCGCCACGGCATGCACATCAACAACTCAGCGGGCTGCAGCATTCAGCTGAACCACCGATTTAATGAGGAGCACGTCAAAGACATCACAACGCCGCCACCAGAACTATGGAGACGAGGAGGCAGCATCACCATCGAGCAGGGCATCACGAAGCTGAAGATCATCACAGCCTACTCTCCGCCCGCCCCATGGGATAGAAGGAAACCGCCACAATGGCGGCTCACCATGACGAAGGGGGTGGGTAGAGCAGGAGATCCTGAGTACGCCATCTCGCTTCACCCCGACCGCCATGATGGACCTGAACGACCGCTCCGCCGCAGGCCCCGACGGAAACGAGACGGTCGGCGACAACCCCACGGGCAAGGAGGGCGAGCGGGCAAACTATGCCACCACAACCTTTGCAACGCGTACATGGCAGTCGCGAGTGCGCACTACGACGCGGGCCCCACATGCGACGGCCGCCGCCCATCGGTCACCGACTACGTATACATCCCCACGGGATTGGCCCCCGCATGCTGCAGCGCCGCGCGTGGAAGCACGCAGCCCACGCCCCCCAGATCTCAAGGAAGCGCAAGGACCACAAGCCGCTGATCATCAAGATTGAAGCCCCGCCCGCGTGCCACGCCCCGATCGTGGCCCGCCAGACCCTGGACCGCGACGCCATCGCGCTGGGCCTTAAGGAAGGCCGCGAGCGCATCGAGTTCTTGTAGAGCCTCGAGGAACAACTGGGCACCCGCGCCGACCTGCTGCACGACCACTTGGAGCGCGACGACGGCACATACCACTGGAGCCTCACGATGGTGCTTCCGAGACGTCGCCATGGAGCATTGCCCAGCCGTTGATCGGCGCCCCGACGCTAGAGAGCACAAGTCGCAACTACTTCGACAACGAGCCCACTTACGACAGCACTTCCACGCCCAGGAGAATTATCACAATGCTCGTGATGAGGCTCTACAACAGCTCGACGACGCCATCTACGAACTGAGCGAGAGACTCCGACGCCATCTGAAGGGCACGAGCCCCAAGCACCAGGAGGCGCAGTGCGACGAATTGTGGCAGGCCTGGCGCGCCCGACGACTTGCTGAATGCCACCGCGTCACCAAGGATATTCTCCGCTATAAGCTACGAGCACGCAAGCGCTTCTACGGCATCCTACCCAGCTCACGCCCCAGCAAATAACAACGGCAACAATTCCTACAACGCCCAGGCGCTGAAGGAGGACTACTAGCCGTACCAGCACCAGTCCCCATCCCGACGCGAGAGGGCCTGGCCCCGCCACGACTCCCACCACCTGCCCCCGCCACGCCGCCGCCGACACCGCGACCACCACTACCACCGCCGCCACCACCACCCCTACACACCGACTCCACGCTCCCCCCATGAACTGCGATGAGCTCGACTCGGACACCATGTTGGAGCATGAGCACGACGACGCCGAGGACGACGCGCCGCGGATTGGGGGCCTCCCACCAGCACCACCCACGCCAGCTTCCACCGCGCCTTGCGACCCGCCACCAGCACGCGGCATCCAGCTCAACTTCATCATCAAAGCAGCCGGGGAACTTGCGTCAGTTACCGCACTCCTCGGCAAAGCCAAGCGCAGGAAGCACGCCCCCTACTGCTCCGCCCCCGCCGAGATCCTGCCGATGGCACTCCAACCCGAACTACTACGACGACCAGACCGGCCGCGCCGGTGCCTTGGAGCGATCAACGACCCCGACGGCGCCGAGGACCCCTTCCGAGAGGAAGCTCCAACTCCCGCGAGAATATCGATTGGGTAAATCACGACTTTTGCTAAGCCTGGCTCGCGCACGACAGCGTCACCGCGCCCCCATGCGAGCGAACACTTCACAGAGCTCCTGCTGGATACGGGCATGGGCGCCATAGGACCTGTTGGCCTGCGCCTCAGTCATTGCTTCGACGTCTTCCGGCGCGGTTTTTACCGAGATCTACGAGAGCGAGGTTTCCCGACTCGACCGCCCGAGTACGCTGACGGAGGCGCCCCGCATCGACGGCGCGTTTTCGGCGCGACCGTCGCCCGCGCAGTCGCCTGCAAGCTCCGACGGGCGAAGATCGCATGTGCAGTTCGCCCCCGCGACGGCCGCAACGCCTTCGGGTGCGCCCGCCACGAAGCCATCGACGACCACGTCATCCCCCCCTTTCATGAGGG